AAATGACCCCCCCCCCCCCCCCCTATAATAGTATAACATTGAGTGCATGGTACCCATTGATGGCTATTTTGAAGGGACACAACTCCCTTGCACTAACACACATGCCCCTATCTACTAAAACAAAAAAAGTGTCCCACATTACAGAAAAAGACCACTGGCCAACTGAATAGTATTTTTCTGTCCAACAGCTTGAAGCAAGACCTCAGGCAAACGGATGGATGTTATGAGACAGGATATCAAACACAAACAATCTTGAATCAAGGTCAAGAACAACACAATAGAGCTGTAAACCAAACCGGGTAGTCAGATTGCCAAGATAACAGAACAAAGTTGTTTTGAGAACATACAACACAATAACCAAGGTTTTCTCTCCGTAGTCACATCTGAGGAAATTATTGATGTAGTCACACAAATTAAATCACCTATTCTAGTTTTAGGAAATCCTGAAAATGCAATATGTTGGGCATACAGGAGCATCCCATCAGTTGGGGATCACTGTGCTAAGAGACTTGCATGCATTGGATGTGCACTATTACATATCTGCTATATCAGGGAAATCTGGAGATAATTGGGCTGCTTACACACTACCAATAATTCATTTGAGAGACTGATATTAAAAAGAGAAGAACTGGCCTAGTTGGATATTCTCAATGTATTTGACTTTGTTCTCCATTCACTTTCTTTTTTAACTGGTAAGTGGCAGTTCCTTCACACATGTGTACACATAGAATATGAGAGTGTATTTGCATGGGAGTGTCAGGAAAAAGTAAGGTCTGATAGCAGCTGTATGGTTAGCTAACACTTAACCACTCTCTAAAGCACATAGACAACATGCAGACAAATACATTTATAACAAAAACATCAAACAGGTAGAAAATAATGGCACAAGCTAGTACAAACTGCCAGTCATGGGACATAAGAAGAGAAGCACAGGGATAGGATCTCAAACATAAGTAGTTTTTGTTTAGATAAGACAGGAAGTCAGGTTAAGACTATGACCAATCATGACCATGCCACAAAAGAATAAAAACTGAACTACAAAATATAGGTAAAATGCAGGTACGTGTAGTAAGGTTCGTGCTAGGTGAGGCATTGGCTAGCCCTGGGATAGCAGACTGCAAGCTACAGCAATATTCAAAGAGATGACTGGCAGAGATACAAATGGCATACACTCAATTAGCCAGCAGTGGGGTGGTGCAACCCTCACTAATTAGCATAATGTAAATTGTTTTGTTTTTTTCATATGTGAAAAAATTATTTCACAGCAATTTTTGATCATCCTATTAAGAGATTCTCCTACCTACTCATTTTTTGCAGGAACACACCATATTAAAAAACAAGTGTAGCATTGGATGGCCCAGAAATTGACTGTGTAGGACACGCCTACCTAGTGAGTTTAAGAAATGATTTGTGAGACTAATAATAATTGTGTGGCTCCAAAAATGGCACCGATTATAATCATAAGAACCTTAATCACAACTGGTCCTAGTGTATATATCAGTCTAATTCATAGAACCTAAGCTCTTATTCTACTACATGAGAGTGAAGAGCAGGCTTAAACTATATAGCTTTGTTCAAATGACTTAGGTGGACTTGACTTTACAAAGCAATCATGTGTTGTCTCAAGGCCACAGACGTCCATTATTTTTTATTGTTATTATTTATCTGCATACATTGTAATAAATGTAGAAAATATTTATTTTGAGTTCTAAGCAAGTAATATACTTTCCCATACTACTAATAATGGAAGTATCGGGAAGTCCAATACATTTTGCAGTTCAAAACTAATAAGACAAGAAAAACTAATAAAGAAAAAAAGAGTGCTTCTGATTGCATAGGCACAGTTGTCTCAGACAGTCTATGCTAGCCCACAGTAAGCTCAGATTTTCCCTTGCCATCTCCCACACTGTAAAGTGTGAATGTGGTTATTATTAGGTATCACAGATTGGGACCATTCTTTCCTCAGACACATAAATTAGGGTTCTGATGTCCTGCCATTCCAGAAAATGGTGCATTCAATTTTTACAAGATGTGTTGATCTATGTTGCCAGCTAGAAGTGTTTGGAAAATAATGTTTCTCTTCTAGGAACAGCAGGATGGAATGTAGTTCCACTTGCAACTGATGTAGACACTAGAAAGCCTGTAGATTTACCGCACACTTATTATTATCTATAATTCTAAAAAAAACAGACTTTTGTAAATCAATAAAATTACTGTCACACTGAGTGTTGATTTATCATCTCACATGCACAACTCTCATGTTTTATATTGATTTAAAGGAAAATCTGCACTCTGGGAAGTCTCTGTGTGATTACAAATCTGAAGTCCTTGCAGTAAGAAATCTGGAATATCTTTTTAACAATAATTCAGAGGCAACAAGTTAAAAATGTGTATTTCTCAATTTATGACACATATACTAAAATTAATACACTGAAATGCTGCTGATAAGATCCTTAGCAGTGGCATTGTTACCTACAATCTACTCTCCTTTGCATTTTTCTTCCTGAATGATGCACCTATCCACTGATCTGTATTTAGATGTCACGCTGCCCAAGGCACGCTTAAATGATGATGTCCTTTTGTAAAGGTTCCACCCCTTGGATTATTCATTTAGTAAATAGAAATATATGAATGTGTTATTAGAAGAAGGAAGCTGTCTGCTATATAGTTTCGGCTACTTTTAACTGTACTGTCCGCAGGGTATTAACACTACTGAGGAATTTTACTGCAGAATGCACAACGTTGTCACCCTATTAAAGGAAGTGGAGAATAATGACCGATCCACTGGCAGAATCAACAATAAAACCATTTTACTGTGGAACACTCAGAAAAAAATAAAAAACATTGTTCTAATTCTATTCACAGACTGCAACATATATGCAATTTTTCCATTTACCAATATTTACTCTTTAACTTACACACTTTGACCTTTGCCAATCATAGTTTTCAAGTAGATTTATACTGGATGACATTTAATTTGCTTAAGCACTGCATACCATACCATTGCAATGCTTTTGTTTTATAAAATACTATTTTCACCTTTCTTGCATACTAGTACTGCTGATCTCCTCTAGGCTCTTTGCACACACACTCTTTGCATTGGTCCAGCGACAGCTGCATGTCATTGCTTAGGACAGGCTACCTGATTGTGACAAATGTGGAACATGGCTTGCATGTGCCAAAGTGACAATAGAGTAGTACTGGGAGCCAGTTATCATCCCATAACAGAAAGTGCAGGATCACCATATCTCAACAAAAGCTGCAGATTCAAAAAGATTGAAAACCATTTTTGAAATTAATTTTAAATGTTTATTTTATATGAGATGTAATAGTAAACCCAAATATACATTTTAAACGGTCTAACACCTATAAAGCCCCAAATAAAATGTATACTTGGGTCTACTATTAAAATTTTTCTGGGGGGTGTGCTGCTATCCTACTTGGTGACAACATATTTCTCTATGTTTACAGTATATGACATGTAATAGTTCAATTAATATATACTTTACCTGCCAAACTTCTTTACTAGAAGTGGAAACCCTGTCCATCTCTAAAACATTACAATATCTACTCTGAATGATTTTATTTTTTTTATTGTT